ACCCGGTTTAAGCCGCACACCCCCCCCCCACCCCGCTCCGGAAGGTGATGTATGTGAGATTGCGAGTCTCATGAGCCTGGAAATGCAGAAGTGCATGTGCACGCAGCAATCCTACAGTACACATGATGTTTCCGCGGAACCTTGCAGGCCTCAATAATTCAATGCTAATGCCTGATTGTCCTGCGTCAGTACTCTAGGCTACAAAGGCCCCACATCCACATAGACCCAATAGGCCGCTGTTTTATGTACTTCCCGAAGCCACCCAATACCAGACGGTTAAGTATTCGGGGTTAAGTATTCTGTTCTTTTTGATTCAACATCAATTATTGTGCTTGGCCCAGTGTCCATTTGTGCTTCTTGAATGCAACAGTTGCGAACCAATGCCCGGTTTTCATAGATCCTGCTCGAGTGCTATTTATATCTCTGTGTAGTCTTCATGCACATCTTGTTTTGAGCAGTTTCTGCTAACGTGCGAATTGCTACTGATGACGCTACATGTCTGTAGATAGAGAGAATATGACCATAAAAGGATCGACAACGGATGTTAACAGAAATTGTGGGGAATTATCCGTTAACCCCTATAAATCCGAAATACTGCATAACCACATTGACAAGCTGAGGTCAATTCTTGACGCTGGCATCAAAAAAATATGGCTTGAACTGCTTTCAGAATTGCGGAAATGTGTTTAGACATGTTTCAAGTGGTCAGTGAACGGCTCGCTGAAAAGTGCAGGAAATACGTTGTAAACAATTGAAAACTCTCCTTTGAAACTGGGCATTGTATGGAATGAGCGTCACTCAAAAATCCATGGAACCCTGGAATGAATGATCTTCGGTGTTATGTGGAATTCACGTTTTGCAAGCTCGGAGGCGCGGCGCTGATTGAAGCGCTCGGGCGGTCTGACCTGGCAGCCGTGGAGGTGCTCTTGTACGGTGTGAAAGACGCGGACAGTTTGACAGGCCTAGCCGTGAAGCATGCTGTGACTTTGCATAGTGTCTCTCTGTGACTATCCATATGGACGGCAATACCCTTTACAATTAAGCGGCAGTTAGCTGGTGCCCCTAGTTTGCGATGCAAGGGCTCGTTAACAGCCTGTGGCACAGGAGGACCCTTTGCCGTCAGATTGATGAACCTTTTGTCCATCTGGACGGACGACACCTTCCTGCGCGCTGTGGTCCTCCTTCACAAACACGGCATGGACCTGGAGCCCCCAGACAAGGCCCTTCTGCCCTTCGTGGCCGGGGAATGCAAAGTCCGACTGGTCAAGAGGCTGCTGGAGCTGGGGGCTAGCCCGAAAGCACAGTTCAGCGGCAGCAGCGCCAGCAGTGAGGCCAGTTGGTGTCCGGAACCGGAGAAGGAAGCCATCCAGTCTGAGTTGCGGAAACACTAAAGCAGTCTTTGGGCGCATTTAGAGGCAACAGAACAAGTTGTCATAGCAGCCGAGACTTACATCCGCGAGATTATATAAATGTCTGCTAAAGCCCTTGCCTTGGAACTATGCGGCGGCAACGCCTCAAGATGCATGAGGCACCGGACGGAGCATATCCACAAGGCATTGCGCAGTCCGAGGGTCCGAGGCATGGTGACAGCTGGAAGGGTGCTTGGGTGCCCATGACCTGGGGTACGTTTAGTGTTGCCATGTTTCTGGTAGGCACTCTAATCGAAAAGGAAGCGAGTCCCCACGTCCACGGACCATCTTGTAAACATCCATGGTTTGTGCCGGAGAGCACGGGTCTGCCAGACATTGTCGAGTCTGCACAGACCAGCAAAGGAGAACGTTGCAGAGTCGAAAAGTCCGAGGAGCGATGAATGAGTGGAAGGGTGCTTGGGTGCCCATGAGCCGGGGATACTACAGCTATATCATTGTTAATACTATTGACAGTTTTACAATTATTACCATCACTGTTGCCGTTACTGTTCGCATTATCTTTATTATGTGCTACTAAAACTATAACATTAGTATTGGAAGTAGCGGGAAGGAGATGTAGGAGCCCAAGCATTGCTGCTAGCATCTCTAGACAGTCAGATGCTGCTGGAAGGTTAGCAATATGTGTAGTTTCGTTCATACGGGCTCAGAGACACAAAGCCTTTATTGCGCACTGTTGCCTGCTGCTGTGCCTCAGCGCGATGTCCGTGTTGGTTGCCAAAGCTTTGAAGCCTGGCCTGAAAGTGGGGGATTCAGGTGCTTGGAAGTATATACTTAGCGACAAACCCTCGAGCCTTGAAGCTGGCAAGGAGACGATGTACTGTGGTGACCGCATAACCAGCCCCGTCTGCTTCATCTAAACTCTGCCGGCGCAGACTCCGGCAGACCCAAAGATCGAGTGAAAGATCGTAACACCATTGGAGGACTACTCGAGGACCATAGCAGGGAGCACACCAAGACCACCCCATGTTCGCCTTGCACTGAGGACCAGTCCAAGACGTGGCGAGAAGCGAGAGAGAGGGACAAGAGTGTGCATGCCGGAGAGAGAGAGAGAGAGAGAGA